TGTTGGTAGTTGGTATATAGGACTTAGTTTCAGTTATCTAAAGTGATAACCTTTCGAAGACTTATATTTTATAATACATTTAAACATGTACCTATATGGTTGTAATGTGCGAGGTTTTTATTTTATAAATCAAAATTTTTTTATCAGGTTGTGGGTGTTAACATTTAAATTCCCTCCCCCCCTCAAAAATGATCAAATTTCWKATTGATATACCTATATACAAGTTACAAGTACCTATATCTAGTCTAGTAACACCTTTTGCAATAGTTACTGTAATGTATTACAATAAACTGACCAAATTTTGGACATAYTTTTTGTGAATAATAAAAATATAACCAAAGGACCCGTATACAAAAGAGATTTTTCTATGTAAAAAAAAAAATTAACGCCAATTTAATTCGTTATATTTTTACAGGCGAACGTCGAGAGAGAAGTATGACGCACGCGGGCCGTTTGTCACCTGTAATATGCCCGCTAGCAAAGCTGGGACGGTCGTCTTCCGGTTCTCTGGAGTTTACACCCTCAGTTCGGAACGTACCGTTCCACCACCCGTACACGGTACTAGAAGCCGAGACTAGCTTCACGTACAGCCCGACGTTACGGTGCAGTTCACCGTGTTTGGACCAAGGTTACCACACGTTAGTGACCGGCGGCAGTGTCGGCGATTGCGCCAATCTGCCACTGCACTCCACAGCCACCAAGCACCGGCGGTCGCAGTCGCGGACGGTCATCGGTTCGAACTTCGATCGGCTCAGAGATGAACTGGTGCTCAAGATATTCTCGTACCTCAATAGCGCGGACCTTTGCGCGTGCGCGGCCGTGTGCCACAGATGGGAGAACCTCGCATGGGAGCCCGTCCTGTGGCGGACGATCGCGCTGTGCGGCGAGAACACCTGCGGCGACAAGGCGGTCAGGTGCGTGTTGCGCCGGCTGTGTGGCCGCACCAGGACCGGCGCGTGTCCCGAGGTGCAGAGGCTGTTCCTAAGCGACGGCACCAAGATTTCTGACAAGGGATTGACGGCGTTGGCCAGGCGATGTCCCGAGCTCACGCACGTCCAGCTCCACGGCAGTCCAAACATCACCAACGCGGCCATATCCGAGTTGGTCGCCCGCTGTCCYAATCTGCAGCACCTGGACGTCACCGGTAAGCCGCGGCACCATTTATTACTAGTTGTACTTACTATGAAATATGTCGAGTGCAGGGCGCACACATTTTATAATTTTATATCATCACGCGAATATTTTACCAAAGTGATAATTTATTTTAACTTTTAAGTTAAGGACATAAGGTAAATTGTAATTTGTAATAACTTTTACGTAATTTACGCATAGAATATAATGTATTATATCTTATATTATAATAATTAATATTTGACGCTCCTATAAGCGAGTATTCATGATCAGGAAATGTTCGTTGCATGTAGGTAGGTATCCTGCGTTAAAGATACTTACATAATCGTGATACATGTGACATATAATATAATATATATTGTACATTTGTACCTATACTAGTTAAAATAATCATAATTTAATTTGATAGAGTAACGCCAAGCTCAGTTCAGCTTTTTAATATTTAAATTAAAGTAAAATTATTTGTCGTTTGTATCGAATTATGAGTATACACTTAACAGTTAAACACTATTAAAAAAAAAAACTATGATTTTCCTGTTTAATGGATTAAAATGGGTTGAAATTTTTGTACTAGTAGAGAATTATGTTTTTTTTTTTCAAAATATAGATTTGTATATCAAAAATATGATTCATAAAGTCRTGAAACATTAAATGTTTGATCTTATACAGCCAAGAAGTATCCAAAAACGTAAAAATACTGTTTTACCACCACCCCTTATTCTAATATTATATACGTATATAGCCATCGTCCATCATCAATCAACATGAGTAAGTTATAACCTGTGTCTGTGTAGGAAGTATTTATAACGTATATATATGTACCCATAGATTATATACAGCWGACGGAATAACATTTGTTGCTTTYTTTCGAAACGTATAATGGAAATCATTTATTATTGCGGTATCGACCATSGGTATAAGTTATTTCCTGCCAATCGTTTTCGTATATTATATAGATAAATGTTATGATATTAAGATATGAAATCTCCTATTGGATTTTAAGCTGTAACGTTGGGTGGTAATAGTATGGTACTGTGGTATGTATATTATAGACATGTCGAGTGAGTAGACGTGCGCAGACATTAATTTATGGGCGTTTCTTGAGTGATTTCAAGACATTTATAGGGTTTCTTTAGGGCTTGTAGCTGGTACCGTATAGTTTACAAAATTAGGGCCTAAGGATTCTTTTYGGGTATGCAAGTACGCCTAGGGATATAGGTCATCTGACATATCTTATAGATTTTAATATGCTCTTATCATACACTCATTAATAAATKTATTACTGTTACCTAGTGTGTCTAAATATTCAAAATTATTTAAAGAAGGAATAAATACTTAAATTAGTAATTAGTATAAAATATCTTCGGAGAAAAAAATAAAGTTTCTTTGTTTGAATTAAATAATATTGTAGTCATAATATTCGAATAAACGAGACTTTCGAATTCAGACCAAAAATAATTTATTTCGGATGTCATGGCTTATGATAGTTTTTCATGTATTTTGCATTCTTTGTACCTAATTTAACATTGTTGTTATCTGAATGTTATTTGAAACCAAAGATAGAATAATATAAAAGATTAGATACATTAACAAACGAAAAACATATTACAAGTGATCAATTACTTTTTAAGTAAAAAAAGTGTCTTGTTGAAAACGTGTGTAAAATATAATGTATTTATAAATAAGGAACTGAATATAATACGTATACTGTTAATGGAGACTTCTAAAGTTTATTAATGAAAAAATATAAATATAATAAAATAGATGAATAGATAGACTGCAGGCATCACAATATTCAGGTCTTCTAGTGGGATTAATAAGGGTGACAATTATTTACAGTTATAATGGCCTCCGGGTGCAAAATTCCTAAATTTGGCCTTGTCTTCATTAATATATTCTTATACATAAGGTATATTATAATATATGGATATAATATCATGCGTATAAAATGTAAACGTTACATATTATATCAAATGAAATTGTATAAGRTTAAAAATTAGCTGAAAAACCCGTCGAGTAAACAAATTGTATAAAATAACTGGTGTTATAAAATGTGTATAATATTATTATTCTATTATAGTTGTTAGTTTTTCTGACAAATGTGTACAACGTTATTAAAATAATAATAATAATAAAATAAAAAAATCTTACAAAATATGGTCACAGCTAAATACACAATAATTAATGACTTAGGTAGGGGACTTTTAACGTTCATTCGCTCAATCGCTGTGAACATAATGTACTATCTATATCTATTACGAATTTATACGATATAAACTACAAAATAAACATAATAATATATTATAGATTTTCTCAAAATGTCATTCGGTAATTAAACTTGAGAAGAACTGAAGTGGTATAAACATTCAGCTGGTCATTGACAAATGATTATAATTTATTTAGTACATAATACGGCACTGCTGATCACGGCCAAGGACTCTGGACGTGCGGACGCCGGACAGCCACACACACACACACACTTGCATACATATATACTACTATATATTAGACATACATAATATGTATTATTGTATTATTATATATACTTATCGACTATTACAATACTATTCTTTGCAGATCGATTTCGTAGAAAACCATATAAACACACACACACACACACATACACACATATGTGTACTCGCATATGGCATGTCGCACGTGTATGTATATATATATATTATATAGGTATTGGTATATTGTACCGTTTATATAAATTCTCCTCCGCCGCGTTGATGTCTCRCTGTATGCCCAGAGGGAAAAATGCCCTTCCGCCGCCGCATTAGGACGCTTTTTTTATATTATTTATTTTATCCTATTCGCGCGTTTATCTTATACAGGCCGTTACCTATACCAAGATTTTCCTGCCATTAACTGGTATATACCACTCGTACGGCGAATAACGCTCGCACGTAGAATTCGTTATTGACCACTCGCTACCACTACCCTACCTACCTACAAACTACTATTATATATTATATGTAATACGGACGCGGCTCGCGTTGAAGTCGTTTAGAATTTACCGATGGTCACGTGGTTTAAGCCAGTATTATGTATGAATATATATTATGTATATATGTATTTATGTCGAATGTATGTATATATAATTTATACACGAAGCTTATAGTTTTCATATTGTGTCAAACTTCCAAAACAGCTTAATCAAAAAGATGAATGTTTGTTTTACTTTAAAAAAAAAAAAAAACATAAATTATATTAATATATTAAAACTAAATTTACCCAGTCCACTAATAAAAAAATGTTCGCTAGATGATGACATAATATAATTTGTTTTGGTACATACACCTTACATGCATTTTTAAATGATTAATTTCAGTATCTACCAGAGTAGCCAACAATCCTATAAAGTAATTGGTTTTTGGCCTTGTGGGTTAAGCAATAAGCAGCTGTTGTMYCGGAACTGAATAGGGACATAATTAGATAAATGTATAGACACGCAAGGAAAAGAAAAATCTGCACGACCCTGCGTACCTATATACCAATTATGATTTCCCATATTAAAAGACTAATAATCATCGCTTCATGAGTATTTACTAATTTAAATAGTAATGTGGTACTATATCGGATAGATTTATAGTTTATTCTAACCTATAACCTACCTAAGTGTACCTACGCAAAATATATACACCGGTGTGGCTTCCTTCAGACGACGGTTTTACGACCGTAATGACCGTATTAAAGCAGATAATATACTGTATATAGTATTATTATATACTAATAAAATATATACGATATTGCATATCTAGTATCTACATATTATTTATATTCGTACATCAATATTAATTCTGTAGTTCCGTTCCGAAAATTACATCGTCACTCACCGTAGTCCGTTCGCAGTTAATACTTTTATAGGTACCAAAGTCTTTATACTATATAGGTAGATTATATAGGTATATAAATTGTGTTGTTATAATGTTGTCGCGCCGACGCCCGATGCTGCAACTATTTTACATAGTGCTTGAGTTCCATAGTGATACTACCATTACCATATGACCTGTACAATTRCAATGACAATTGACATTATGGGCACATTATTGTTTTATGTGGTATAAACGATAAACCATCGAATATTGTATAATATTATATATTTTAAGTACATACCTACCTTATATAATAGTGACCTGCGCATAGCTACTATACTGCAAGTTGCAACACACACCACACACATGAAACAATTTTGTTAACGGTATCGTAAACAACGCTCATTTATCATAAATCACAATGATTTTTTTCATTTTGTTTTTATTGTATATAAACTGAGTGTCCACTGTCTATTCGTGCATTTCCGCCCGCCAATGTTGTTCTATACGACATACTTATTACCTACCGTCTCTAAGAGATGTCCGCCTCCTATCATAACTTTAAACTTAACGGAGATTAATAACTCAACTTTTAAAAGATAAAATATTTAAATAGAATTAAGTTTGTATTTCTAAATATTAGTATTATATAAAAAAATAATATGAATTATAATAATAAAACGTGATTTCTTTAATTCTTTAGTTTATAAAAGTGTCTATATAGGTTTATGTAACATATTGCAAAATTATGAATTGTTTACAGACAACCAACAACAATTTTTTACGGATCAGTATGACAGTATAAGGGCTATATCCTTCCCTCCCCTAGATTGATATCATAATTACTTATTCTATAAATTATTTATTAATTAAATACATTGTTATACTTAACGGATAAACTAAAAATGTAACCTTGGATTGTGTTCTTTTGCTATAGGTATAGGTTTTGATGTATTAAATATTTGTACAAGTATAATATTGTATACCTTTATAAGTTTATGGACCCAACTAAAATATTTCAACAACCATAAAAAAATTTAAGAATTTAACTGAGGTACCTACAATAAAAAGCAAAAACCTATAAGTGATAAACAAATTATTATTATTTTCTAATCAAAATTAAGTAAATATTTTAAACATTTAGATAACAACTTGCTTTTAAAAGAAAATTAATCCAACATTATTKTGAATCAAAAATTTGTTCAAATAATTTTTATTTTATTTTCTACATTTATTAGTTAAATTATATGTCTGTTTTTGTAAGTGTTTAATTTTATTTAAATCCTATTTCTTTTAAAAGAGTCCAGGACCCCCCACGGCTACTTTTTGTGAAGTACCTATAAAAAATTTCCCAATTTAATGGTAGACATTCTACTCTTATTTTTTTTTAAATTAAATKAATATGAAAGTATGAATTTTTTGTTTTAATGCATAATAAAATGAAAGAAATGTCCAAAAATGTCGATATACCTACCTACATACGTATAAATAAAAATAAATAAATATATTCTAACGGAAAACGCTACAAACCTGAATAACTTATAAATTATATTGAGTACCTACTTACTGAACTATAACTACCTAATATGGGTGTATCGTTGTAAATATATATTAATATAGGCATATAGCATTGCAATAAGTATAGACGTACAGTATTGCAATACAATACATTTATACATTACACTTACCTATAGGTAGTTTAAAAGTTTATGACCATATCAAATATCAATAATTATCCAATATTTTAAAATAAATTATTGATACTATAGTTTATGCTATTGTTTTTATAGTATAGTAAGTATACTTACTATAGTATATTATAAAATCAATGCTTRTGCATCATTAGTTACACGGGTACCACCCCTATTCATTCAAAACAAGTGTTGCAGCCGAATGTCCACAACACTTTGACATAAATTACATAGATTTCGATGCCACTAATACTGAGTAACAATTTTTTTTAAAATCATATTTCAAAATAATTATTTGGGATTGGGAATAAAAGTAGTTGATACTTGATAGCAGGAAAAAGTACCAAAATCTGCGAGTCGCGAGACTGCATTTTGTGTATTATTATGGTGATGACATAACGCAATACAAAACAAAGTAAAGACACATTATATTTATCATGCTTTCGTCGCATTTATAACTTACTATTCTATGTTTTATGTAAAGTAATTTTCTATGATGTTTTTTTCCGGAAGACTGTAGGACGTAAAATATAGTCTTCAGAAGTTCAGGTACGAGTGATACGACACTGCAGTGAATCTTGAAATTTAACCATTCGACGAGTATCTCTATTCGTGGCTACTATACGTTTCGTATCTGTAATCTATAACATTATTGTTGTGTTTAAACATTTCAAGAAATCAAAATTTTTAACCGATCGTGACTCGTGAGCAACACAAATCACATTGGCACGCGGCGGTGATGGTTCCTATAAACGACAATAATAATTATATAACAATAATGTAGTTGTTCCCATCATCGTTCTTGCACACATACACACACACAACGTATATAAGATACAACGTATAACGTGTGCTATATAATATGGAATGCAAATGAAAGGGCGTGGTGATTCCAGTCGTCTCGAGTTATGATATCCCTGAGAATATTGTTTAGGGGGCTGTCAGGCGGTGTCTCGTGTGTGCATAATATGCGAGTTTCCAACCATTATGCAAATATGTTTTTATTTTGCAAATTATTATTTATTTACATTATACCTGGTATTTTAAATTCGCCTACGTGAATATTTAATTTTTTTTAAATAAAACTACACCAAACGATTGTTGTTCGCTAACAAAATATTATTTTTTTACACATKCTGATTTATATTGTGTGCACCTATATAATATATTGTATTTTCATCAAATTGCAGAGTACGAGAAATTATTTCGTATGTATACTTTACGTTTTTACGGACGTAAATTACGTATCTTTCTCCGATTTTATCTTAAGGGAAACCAAATAAGATATCTACATATATAATATGTCTAATATCTATATGTCCTATATACTTATATAGACGGGTAGAACACGGAGGTGTATCCTATAGCCTATWGGCTATATTTATCTTATTATAAAATAGGTAAGGTTAGCAAATTTTTATTATATTCTGCTTGAAAACTTCCAAAATATAGACGCCCACAAGATTATACAATATTATAGGTTATAAAATAACAATATATAGTGTATCAGTATATGAACATATTGTACATAATATAAACATGTATAAATAATGATAAGGTATATAAAACTATGAACAGTGTCGGAACTTAACTAAATCAATTTTGACTTTTTGTGTGACAAAAAATTGTCGACTGAAATCCCAAATTTACCATTATTATAAAAAAATTGTTTGTATTGTCTTACATACATACTCTTATTCAAAATATATAGTTAAGATTTAAGAATAAATTAGGGAAGTCTGATGTAGGTACTATGTAGTTATTTAAGTATAAAATATTTATAGTTATAATTTCTTTTTCGATTCTTCATAGGTTTCTTATATTTTATAGTCTATGGTTAAATATTTAATAATAAATAATAATATAAATATATGTGTACAAGATAGGTACGATTTGTAATATAATATGTTAATACTTACTATAGAGAAAAGACTTAATGCACTGAAAATCATTGTAAACATTTACAAATATGTACTTAAATTAAAATGATATTACCTTAAATTTAATATTAATGAAATATGTCAAAATATGCACTAAAAATTATTTCCTCGGAATATTTAATTACTAATTTCTGGAACTATATTTTGTACTTCTAAGCATACGATAAAGTCAACTAGAAGAAATATGCAAATGCATAAAAGTCCTTGTTGTGGTAGTCAGAAAAAAAAGCCAAGGAAAAAAAATCCACGGAAAAAAAGCTTAGAAAAAAATCTACGTATAAACATAAAAGACATAGTAACTATATGTATATGAAAAATTAAGTTCAAAACATTATTTTGTTAAATTAATTTATAGATAATAAATCAATACATGGAACTTGCACAGATAACTATATAAACAGAAAATCATATATATACGAATTTGCTTTCTAAATACATCTTTGATTTAAGCGTAAACGTGTACAATTAATAATTATTAGTAGAGTTATAATTCGTTTTTAACTGTGAAATGTTTCTTGTTTWAGGTTGTGTTAAGGTGAGCACCGTTGGAGTGTATAGTCGTCCGGAGCCATCACTGAGACTGTGCCTGCAGTATTTGGACTTGACTGACTGCCAGCTTGTTGACGATGCAAACCTATGTGTGATCGTTAGTAATTGTCCACAACTAGCCTACTTGTACCTGCGGCGATGCACTAAAGTCACAGGTAATGACGTAACGATTAATGATTATTAAAAATTGTATAACATTCAATATAGATCAAAAAAATATAGTCAAAATTACTAGAACATAAATGCAAAAAACAATAAATAATTGTTTGATTTAATCCGCAAGCTATCTACATATAATATGATAGTATGTGTGTATATTGTATAGTGTACCTATGTATAGTCTTGGTACCATTCAAATGCACTAGGTAGTAGGTATACATATATAAGGTCTATATTTTGAAATTGTGTTGATCTCTTTGGTCATTGTTGCGTTATAAATTATAATAACTTGTTAAAATATTACTGTAGACTTACATATAATATTTATCATTTATAATAAGTACAGTCGTGCTGTACAACTAACCAATTAATCGAACGTATTATATGTTACACTTGAGGTGTTAGGTACCTTTTTTTTTTCATTTTTAACCGACGTCGCCGCGGCGGAAACTGCTTTCGCATTGCTTCCGCGGCGCGCGGCGTCGCCATCGTTTATTGACTTAATCAATATAATATAATATAATATATACATAATATATACATACATGTGGGTAGACGGGACAACTCCCCGACTTACCCCCCATTCATGCATTTTCAAAATTGKTCATTTTGTAAGGTGTTAGGTACCTACCTAATACTAAATTAAACAACACATTTGTAAACTATTTTCATTGCAATCTAATATTTTAATTATATACTTGCAGAGTTTAGATACTGATCATAGAATAATACATATTTTACAGTCTATTTTTTATATTTTATAAAATATAACATATCGTATACCTATTAAACAGACAATATAAATATAATATCCTTCATTGCTGAAAGATGAAACATTTTCCATTCAGATTTTGTCTCGTCCAGAAAAATGTGGAATGCCAATTATTCGCATTGCGTTCATACTCGGGTAAATACTCCACAAATAAGAATTCTTGAGCTGAGGATCCGGTTTTAATTCATTAAGGCGCTTTTTATATTTGCCAAGAACGTGTATCCGTGTATGTAGCAGACTATAGGTATTATGTTATGTACTATAATAAATGCTCTATGACCATTTTATTGCAGCACCTCTTCAACTTTAAAATAAAAATAAATCGATGGACATATTTTAATGGCAAATACGGTCCTCGCACGTGTATAATACTATTATGTATACCTAATATATATTACAAGTTGGTAGGTACTAGGTATACTCGAATATCACAGGAATCTCCGCTTGACTGTGGACCTGTGGAGATTATGAATTATGATTGTACTTATTTATGTAATTATAATATTATATGGTGAGCACTGGACAGTCTACGTATAGGTACACGATAAAAGTAACACAATGCGCGTCGCGTGGTTTAAACCGTTTCTTCTCTGAGAGATTATTACGAGAAGATTATAATTAATAGCCATATTATGTATGATGTATGAAGCATTATTAGTCTAGAGCGTGGATTTATATGCATTAAAAACCAACCATCAAATATGCAAAAAAAATCTTAAATATGCATAAATATATGCACTAAAATGTTAAAATATGCAAAAAAAATGTATTTTTTTAAACATTTAATTAAAACAACATGTTTAAAACTATGAAACCCTCCTATAAATAATTTTCTTCATTTTTTTTCTGAAATAATGTCAATAGTAAATTAGTGAATGGTCGAAATTTATATATTTTTTATCTTATTGGTGTCGTTATTTTATTTCACTGATTATTGATTTGAAGGGGAGTAACCGAGTTGGTTCCCATTTGATACAAAATATAAACTAGGTAGTTTAAAATATAAATATAACCTACACTCTACATGACGTGCAGTATATGCAATAAAATGTAAATAGATTGTTGTATTGGAATTTTAGCAAACTAACACATTTTTAACCAATTCTACTTTGAAGTTTTAGTGAACCAAATAGGTTATAGGAATTTTAAGTATTAAGTTTYAAAAGTTAAAATATGAATAAATTCGTGAAAATAGTGAACCACGTGTGATGTTATATTTTTATATTGCATGTTACATAATATTGTACAATATTACATGATACACACATATATGATATAAAAACTTTGTTTCATCGTCACGTGACGTTTACATTATTTCTAGATGCCGGTATCAAGTTCGTGCCGAGTTTCTGTTCAGCGCTGAAGGAGCTGAGCGTGTCGGACTGCCACCAAGTGACCGATTTCGGGCTGTACGAGCTGGCCAAACTTGGAGCGCTGCTGCGGTATCTTTCGGTGGCCAAGTGCGATCAGGTGAGCGACGCGGGACTGAAGGTGGTCGCGCGCCGTTGTTACAAGCTGCGGTACCTGAACGTGCGCGGCTGCGAGGCGGTCAGCGACGACGCCATCACGGTGCTAGCGCGGTCGTGCGCCCGGCTCCGCGCGCTCGACATCGGCAAGTGCGACGTGAGTGACGCCGGCCTCCGGGCGCTGGCCGAGAGCTGTCCCAACCTGAAGAAGCTGAGCCTCCGCAACTGCGACCTGGTCACCGACCGCGGCATACAGCTGATCGCGTACTACTGTCGCGGGCTGCAGCAGCTCAACATTCAAGACTGTCAGATATCCGCGGACGGATACAAGGCCGTGAAGAAGTACTGCAAGCGGTGCATCATCGAGCACACCAATCCCGGCTTCTTCTGAACGGCCTCGTCGTGGACTTTTGCAGGGTTGTGTGCACTTTGATGCACAACCCTGCAAAAGTTACGCCGTTTAACGTAAGAGGCGGTACTCGATTATTTTCAAAAACTATTAATAATTACTATTATAAATTATTAATAAAACTATTAATATTTTGAACGACTTATGTAGAGGAAAAAACGTTAATAGTTTTTAAGCAACGAGTGTCTTACTTTTAATGGATCACCTGGCATACTTAAGGTCGTATACAGAGAGGCCGAATCGTTCAATAAAAATATTAGATCACGTGTGTGTCTCATAAATGTATAGGATAAAATTATAATTATAAATTGTGAAAAATAAGACGAAAATCGGCGTGCCGTGTGCGACGACGGACACAATATATTATTTTAATAATAACGATGTATTTAATAAATATTATCGCATAGGTCGAAATTGCCTAAACTATGCGCGACTCCTTGAAAAAAATGAGGCCATATGTCATTGCCATTGCATTACAAGAAATTTACGTTTAATTCGAAATAATTTGAGTTTTTGAGWCTTTTTGCTATTATATTATTCATCGCATTTGCGCCAACGAATATAATGTTACTACGTTTGTTTCATCGCCACGTTTATATTATTTAGGTACCTATCTATGTAAGCGACAAACCTTATTGCCACACACTGCCCGCATGCTATTAGGTATATTAGGTATATCGTAGATATTATTAGAACAGTTATCGATATATTATATTTTAAACTTTCACGATAGGCAGGTACCCAAATGTCCCAAATAATAAGCATACACTCATCAAACAAGTTTGTAGGTTTWAAAAAAAATATAATCCGTGTATTGTGCCACCGTCCAATATCTATTCGTTGGGGCCCGTTTTCTCAATTATTATCATGCATCACATAGATGCCTACTTAAAATAACAATTATAAGTTATTACTGTTCAAGATTTTTTTGTAAAAATCCACGTGTTCGACATCAGAAACTATTATTTTAATAATCAATTATAAGTTGTGTAAAAATAATTACCAATTTAGGTACAAAAATTTAAAACTATAAAAGTATACAAATATATATACATAATATATACAGCTTCATTTTAGTATTATACTTAATTCCATTGTTTAAACTGGTTAGATGTGGTATTMATTTAAAATTTAACCATCTTAATTTCAGTCATAAGTGTTTAAACATTTTTAAATTCTGTGCAAGAAAAATAATATTATTGCAATGCATTTAGAATATGTAGGATGTAGCTACCATTATAGGAAATATCATTTAATAATAAGGTACTTCAACAAAACMTAATACATGAACATGATATACCCCTCTCTCCTTGTTTTAAAATAAAGATTTTTATTTATTTAAMTTGAGGTTTGTTTAGTGGCTATAATCGTCAGATCACTTATGTTTCATTGCAATACACATAATAAATAATAATAATATAAGTAGTCATTTGTTACTTGTTGATCAAATACTATTTTAAAATGTAAATTATACTTGCATTTACATTTCCATAATTGTAAGAATAAATTAAGAATAAAAAAAATATTAATTTGACAAGATATTGTATGTTACCACAGAAAATTATAAAAATGTTTGATCGAGAACTATAATTAACCATTACCATGTTTCACAATCATAATATTAAGTGATGACTACACTAAGATTAAATGTATATTTCTGTATAAAATGTATAAATTAAACGTTGAAATATGGTCGTCAACCGACATTGTAGCATATTGTAAATTGTAATATAATCTTTAATATCAATCATAATTGAGGTGCCATCTAATTTGTCTAAATGTTGCCATTTGACTGCAGAAGAAGAAAAATAAACTACTTATGTATTATTTTAATAGTATTTAGTAAAATGCTATTTTAAGTGGCCAATRTAATATTTAAATGAAATCTTTTCATTTTATTAGACGACTGTGTTTATTAATAAGTCTGATCACAATTTAAAACTTTGATAGTTTGTATGTTATAATGTTGTCTCGTTGTCTGGTTAGAATTTATTTAAATTATTATAATAAGTGCTTTGTCACAAAATACAGTATTCATATTAAAATAGAATACACTTTTTATATAATATGTACAAATTGATAGTGTACAAAACTGTTGGTATACATTTTAAATAACTGTATATTTATAATAACAAAGTTTCAACTGTTTTTGTTTTAGTTGTGTGTTGTTATTGCAGTTTATATTGCGTTATTTCCTACACAAAATATCTAATAAGTCCTAGCCAAAATCACAATTCCCAATCTTTTACCTATTTAGTTGATATATGCATTCAATCAGTGGTGTATGTAGGATAGGGGCTACCGGGGCTCCCAAGGCATGTCCATTGTCCATATTGGGGTGACCGTGTTGTATGTAACCGACTGTTATAATTACATAAAAGAATACTGACATT